ATAGTTTTTTCCTGAAACCAAATTGTTTATCAGAGAGTAGGTTGTTTGTTTCTAAGTGAAGGATGATGGATTGGTTAATAATTGATTCCATGACTTTACAGATGACACAGCATAAAGAGATTGGTCTGTAATTTTCAACTAGGCTGGGGGTCTCCCTTTTTGAAGATAGGGATGACTGTGGCTTGTGACCATAGTTTTGGCAAGGAGCTGGTCCTGAAAGATTATGCTTAGAGGTTCTGCTATGGCAGTGGATAACCTTTTTAAGAAGCAGGCACACATTCCATCCGGTCCAACAGATAGAGATGGTTTTAGATTACGTAGTGCTTTTTCAACATTGTCTTCTGTAAAATCGATATGTATTAGATCGTTGTAGTCTGTGGTTCAACTAGGAAATACTGGGCATGATCCATTGCTGTTTACAAATACTGAACCAAAGAATGTGTTAAAGAGGTTGGCTTTAATAGTGTCATCGTTACAGTCTTTACCATTAGGTCCTTTCAGGGTGGGGTGGACCTTGAATCTTTTAGTTTGTTGTTTACAAAATTGTAGAAAGTGCGGGTAGAATTGGTGCGTAGAAGGTTTTCTTCTTGTTTAATGTGATAATTGGTGCATTCAGTTTTTATCTGGTGGCATAAATTTTTTGTATTGGCTTTTGAAGTTGGCAACGTGACCAGATTTGTTTTTCCACCAAAGTGATTCCTTTTTGAATTGAAGCTTCCTTACTGTTAAGGTTTTTTCTGGTTTTGGGAGTTGTTATTGGTACATATAGTTTGATGACTCTTTTGACTTCAAGTAAAAATATGTTGTAATGGTCTTCTACAGTATTGCATCCAGTGAATAGAAATTGCCAATCAAGGGATGAGAGATCGTTGTTTATAAGATCATAGTTGCCTTTTTTTGAAGTGATAATTGTTTTAAATTAAAATTAAATAAAAATAAATTAAATAAATTAAATAAAGATTGTTTTAGTCCATGTCAGTAAAAATATTAATCTCCTTTTCTCTATAATCTCTATAATCTATTTTCTAACAGATTCCTAAAATATCCTTGAAATATCACTCATGACTGATCACCCCATTCCAGATAGAATTCCAGATAGAAGCATCACAATGTGCCTTATGATCTGCATTTTCATATCTCTCATTATGTGTTTCATCACATTGTTCAAAAAAACACCACAAAAAGGTTATGGGAGCATATAATAAATAAATAAATAAAAACTCAGTGAACAGAAACAGGGATTGTCCTCACCTCCAATGAGGAAAAGGAGAGGAGTAGAAAGTGAGTCCTATTTCATTAGTCTCTTAAAGCCAGCCTTATCTGACCCTTGAAAAATAATGAAAAAGATATGAAATAAGTCACCCTAATTAAGATAAATAGATATTAGAGAGAGAAAAATGGAAAACCTGTCCTTTGTTACTAGCCTCTTTTGAAAACTATTGATTGATTATTGATTGATCGAAGAAAGTATTTGTAGCTCAGGTTTGAGTTGTGGGGTGCTTTATACTTTCTGAACTCTTTAATCCTAGTAAAAGAGTGAGGTTTGTTCTCATATTACATTGTGGTTTGCCCTGTCAGTGTTGGTGATTGTGGTCTTGGTGTTACCTTGATTAGGCTGTTGTTTACTGCTAGCTTGTTTGTCTGAGTTGATGGTTCCTTCATTGGGTATTGTTTGCTCCTTGATTGTTGGTCCAGTGATGATTGTGGTGTTGATCCTTGCTTATCTGGGTGTTGATTGCTGGTGATGAGGTGTTTTGGTCTTTCTGTTTTCTTTTTGGCTTTTTGATTGTCTCTTTGGATTCGTATGTAAACGTTTATCTCTCTTGAGTTATCATCCTCTACTTTAGATAGATTTATACAGATAAATAAATGGATAATCTATTTATCTATTATCTATTTATCTGTATTGATTTTTTTTTTCCAAACAAATCTATTTGTTTTTCTTTTTCTGTCTGTGAGTTTGAATGATATATTTTTGGTTGTCTTTGTTTTCTAGTCATGGACTAGGACAGGGGTGGGCAAACTACGGCCCGGGGGCCACATCCGGTCCGTTGGTCTTTTTAATCCGGCCCGCTGAAGATTGGTACAGAATTAAGGTTTGATGTGAATGATTGAATGATTGCATTCATTTGATTTTGACTTGTAATGACAGGCATTTCGACACCAGGTGGGGGCCCGTCTGTCAAATTTTAAAAGTCAATGAGGCCCCCGAGCCAAAAAGTTTGCCCACCCCTGGACTAGGAAAAGCACTGTTTATCTGTCTCTTATGCCAGGATATTATTGCTATGATTGTTGTTATTCAACATTGTTATTCATACTAACATTACTTATACAGTGGGAATGTTTACCTTACAAAGCAAAATAAATCTATTTTGTGAATTTTGTGGATCTGATGATAGCCGAGGGCTTTGCTTAAGGTGGGGGCTCTTATTCCATTTTATAGAATTGTGTTTATAGAGCTGCCTGTGTGATTTTGTATAATATCTGTCATTATTAAGGCAATTGTCATGTTATGGCTCAGGGCTGCTGTTCATTCAAAAGAACTCAAATGGCAGATCTTCACTTACAGTGTGATGGAACAAGTGAAGTCCCGCCCCAAAACCAAGTGCAGTTGTTGGCTGATTGAGTGGCAATTTCCAGTCTTCTGTCATTCAAACCCCAAGAGACAGACAAGTAGACAGTGAAAACTGAGCCAGATCCATGATAGTACAGCTGCAGGTTCTCTGTTTCAGATTCAGCCATGACTACAATAGAATGTGTACCTCCTGAATCATCAGCCTGTTTGGTCCTGACAGTAATGATGATTCAACTGAATTCAACTGGTTCTATTTTAAATCTGAAGAGTGCAGGCTAATATTCTGAGACTTCCCATCAAAAGAAAGGAACTAGAATGATCTCTGCTCAGAAGCCAAAAGGAAGGAGTCTTTTGGGAACTAAGGGGATTATGGCCCAATCTCCTAAAGACCAGAAGATGGGCAGTCTTGATCTAACAACCTGAGATTCATATGTCTGGGCTAGGCTTGGAGGCAAGCAAATCCAGTTTATTTCCCCAAATAGGAGAGTTGCATTTCAAAGAGCAATATCAGTATCCCATTCTATGGGGTAACCTTCACTAGAATCCGGCTCTCCCATTAACGAGCCTACTGGCTGATTTTTGCAAGTGTAGAACCATACCTAGAGTGTTATCAAATAATGTATTTTTAATATCCCGGTTTTGGAAAAGTTCACATCTGTTCACATATCTTTATAACAGTAAACAATGCGTCTATTCAAGTAAAAAGCAAACAACTGCGTATCTGGGATCAAGCCAAAAGAAAGAAAGAAAGAAAAACCCAAATCCTCCCAGCTGCGTGGAGTACAACAGGTCAGTTAGAGATCAACAACCAGAAGGACAAAAATTAGGAAAATCTGTTCCTTGTTGGAATACAGACAGCAGTCATGCCTCTGTTTGTGAAAGAGATGTTGGATTTTCTTGGACAGAAAATCAACTGTTGCTGGTCCCTCCTGCCTCCCAAATTTGCATAAACCATGCACACTGATCACTGTGAAATAGTAAAAGTAGCATCTAAACCAGGGGTGTCAAACTCAATTTCATTGAGGGCCACATCAGGGTTGTGTTTGACCTCAGGGAGCCAGAGTGGGTGTGGCCAGGATGGGTGTGGTGATGTCACATGATGTCACTCGTGTTGGGAGGCACTTGTAGTGGCCCAAGCGCTCTGCCAGAGAAAATGGGCTCCCGAGGTCCATTTTCGGTTGCAATGGCCTCCTGCAACCCTCTGTTAGTGAAAATGGAGCTGTGGAGGACAGCACGCGACCCTCTTGAGTTCCGTTTTCACTGGCACAGGCACTGTGGGCTTCAATGTTTCCAGATCTAAGCACCCCACAGGCTGGATCTGGCCCCCAATCTAAACCATCTGCCACCTTAATGTGGCCACTAATGTTTAGCTAATTAGTAATAAAAGCAGAAATGTACCAGGCCAACACAAATTTGCACAAAAGTTGCCTATGCTAATTCATCTGTAAAGCTGCAAATCTAGAAATTATTATTATTATAGTAATACAGGTGGCCCTCAACTTACAACCACAATTTGGATGGGAATTTTGGTCACTAGGTGATATGGTTGTTAAATGAGTCATCACAGGAACAGATCCAATTTTAGGACAATGTTTATTGTGATTGTTAAACACATCCAGCTTCCCCAATTAATGTTTCTTATTGGAAACCAGCTGGGAAGGTTGCAAATTGTGATCAAGTGACTGCAGGATGCTGCAACTGGTCATAATTGAGAGCCAGTTGTCAAGGGTCTGGATTGCTATTATGTGACCACAGGGATGGTGTCATGGTCACAACTTCACAGACAGGTCATAAATCACTTCTCCAGAGACTGTCACCTCTTTGAACCATTGTGAATAGTAAGTCAAGAACTATCGGTAGGGCCGTAGTTTCATGTGCTACCTAGATCCTGCACATGCATAGATATAGCGTTGCTCACTTGCGCAGCCCAGTTCCTAATAGGCTGCGGACCAGGGACCCCTGATCTAGGAAACAAAAACCAAATAATACAACAATTGTTACACTAAGAAAGGAAGAATCTATAAATTTAATTTTGCTCCTTTGTTTGAATTTATGGACTGTTTCTTGTTTTCACATCCACTTGTAGCTGTTTTCTTTAACAGTTGCCCAAAAAGGCAATTGCATCTTTGGGATGTTTTGTTTTTAATGGACACAATTTTGCATCTATCTGAACAGATGCTTTATACCAAGTCAGATTTTCTCAATTTGGAGCCCTTCAAATAATTTGAGTCCATAATTCAATTTCAATAAAGGGGACCTAAAAACAAATCATGTTCAATAAAGGGGAAATAAAAATAATAAAAAGGAAGACAAAAAGTTGGAATCTCTTTGACTCAGTAGATGTTCTATTAGATGTCTTCAGGGAGAAAACACTGAGAAAGTGCTAACCAGAAACAATTTTCTGTGACTGTTCATATCTTGTGACTTACTCTTCATCCTGCAGATTCTCCTCTTCTTCCTGGATCTGGAAATGGTTTTTCACAGGAGCCAAGTTCTCTGTTTTGGCATTGTAATTCCGAAAGCAAATGTTGAGCTTCTCGTCAAATTCATTGACCAAATCTTCCATGGACTTGAAGCTGATGATCTCAGAAGAGAAGTTCTCAAGCTCAGAAAGAGAAGGATCTTCCAAGAGCTGAGCTGTAGAGCCATAGAAATAATGAGCTTTCTCTTCCCTATCCGCTATGTAGCATGGCCTCAGATCTTCAAACTCTTCATCCAGGCTTACAAGAGGGGCTTCCATGTTGGACTGGCAAATGGAAGAAGGGTGGCCTCTGCAAGAGAAGGAACATGAATAAGGCAATAGTCGTAACAAGTCAACCTTGGTCCCAACAGTAAGTCCCATTGCATGGGGTGAAAATTATCCTAGGTTCCAATTATCTTGGTTCATCTTTTTCAGGAAAACACTTTTATGCAAGTGTAGCAAAGCTTTTGCTTCCTGGTGTTTAGTTACCATAGAAATTTTTGCTGCTGAAAATAACAGGAGAAAAAGGAAGGAGAGACAGGAAAAAACCCTGATAAGATACCCAATACTCCTTGATAATACAATTTCTTCCTTGCCTGTTACAACTGACTACCAAGCTTTTTAAAGCTTTCAGCACCAATCTAAGACATACCTCTTCATCCAGTCTCGTAGTTAAGCTAGAAAGTGGAGGATGCTCTTCTGTATGTTCTTTGAAACTGTAGAAAGTTAGCACCCACCCCTCTCCTGGAAGAATGAAATATGTTGAGAAATATTTAAAAAGGCAGGATAAAATATTTCACCTAAAAGAGAAATAAAAATCTTAAGGGAGACAGAAACTCAGAGCCCCAGCTCCCTGCCCACAAGCAGATACTGAGGCCAGTGTTTAGAAATGCAGATTTGATCATCCATTACTCCCTGGAGCAAGATCTGAACAAAGGTAGGGATAGCCCTCAGCCACAATAGATATTGTCTAACAAGCCCCTTCATTTTATCAGCCAAACTTCAACCAAGCTTAGCTAAGACAAACATTTGTACATGGCACCATTGGGGTCTGACAATAGCCAATAGAATACATGTTCTTGCACAGGAACAGGAAGCTGAAGTGCAAAGCCCAAGAGAAGGTATAAAAACCCTTCACTCTCAAATCCATGTGGTCAGCTACCCAGAATGACACGTGCCTAGTGGTTCTGCTTCATCATTAAACCATCTTTCCAATCAGCCTCCATGTTTCCAAGTGTCATTCTCCCAGCTTGGAACTTAACCAGATGGATATTTCTTCCAACAAAACCAAGCAAACAATGATTCTCTGAAATTATCCAGCATAGTTGCAATCAGCCCCATTCGGTGAGGAACAGAAAACCATATATTTTGCCAAACATTGTCTTGAACCAGGATAACAATACCCCCAACCACCCACCACCACCCTGTCACAAGAAGGAAGAAGGGAAATGCTTGGACAATTCTATATTTGAAAACACCAGCTTAATTTTATTGAGCTAAAGTTCAGAGCCAAATCCACCTTGGTGGCCAAAATGCTATCTTTTTTTTTATCAAAATCAAAAAGAAAGAAGAATTATCCTCCCTCTGCAGCAATTCTCTGGTGACTCAACTTCTCAAGTTCAAGGACATGAGGGGAATCCAGCTCTAATTTAAACAACTGGATTCATGTACAATTTAATATCCAGGGAAACCTAGCTTTAAAGCAAAGACAATGCTGCAGATTCACAATGTTGTGAAGAGGGAGATTCACAAGTTGCCTTAACTGAAAAGTATGATCTTGCCTATAATAACCCACCTTAAGAAAAGACATTTGAGTCCCTTGCAGGAGCTGAGTTGCAGCTGCTTGACGCTGGCAGTAATAAATAATATTGGCTCTGAAGGTTCCTCTGCCAGCTAAATCCAGATTGCCTCCAAGCATTCTGCTTTGATTTGATAAATTTAAGGGGCAAGGGCGGGGAAGGCTGAACCAATTTAATTTCCGAAGGGAACCATTAGCTTATTTGAATATTGCCATCTAGCAGACAAATTCATCACCCCAGACACAGCCTGGGACGAAGGCAAAGTTCTGTAAACCAGAGCTTTTTAAAAAGGTTGCCTGCTGGAACTGCTGGCTCCATCTAGATTTCTTTGCTGATTGATGGATAGGCGCCTCGGCTCTCCTTCTGGATTAAAATTGCTCTATTGTCACCACAGTCACTGCAAAGAAAAGGCATCGTGATTGGGCTGCAGATCTGTTGCTGTGACAACTCCCCCTCTTGCCCCCCCCCCAATCTTGGGGCACAAAGAAACAACTGTTGTTACCATTTCGAGGATCTGCAGATGAATTTAAAGCATTCTGCAACTTTTCTGGAAGCCAGGATCATTTGAATAAACAACTGAGTGTCAGGTTGGAAGACTCAGACTGAAATCTATGAATTTCCCAGATGGTCTTCCTTACAGCTCCTCTTTGACAGTTTACAAGCACTATTTTAAAAACCAAATTTGGGGTGTCTGTGCTGCATTAGTGATCTGTGGTCATCTTTAGGAGGGGAGCAGCAGCATGGGATGGAAAAGAAGCAGTATTGTATATCTCTCAGTGCAGGCATTCCATTTAGATAGTCTCCATACCACCAGTTAAAAGGGTCAAATTGCAAGAAATGTTCTTGCAATGCAGGCATGGAACATCAGCACAGATAAAATCACCATCAATCAATTTCAAAAGGCAGCTTGACTTGGAACAGCTTACAATCTGTGACAATAGCCTTAGCAGCATCAAACATTCACATCTGCTTTTCTCAGGTCCTTGGGAAGGACTCAATAGGTAGACAAAAATGCCATTCCAGTCTGAACATCTATCTATCCAACCCTAGTAATACTAATGGCATCTATGCAAGAGCTGAAGAAGCTTCTTGGATGAGAAGTGAAACATCTTCAAGGAAAAACAAGAAAGTCCAGTTGTCTCTTGAAAAAGCACCTTTGGGACAATCATGATCTGGATAACTGAGAATCTCCATAGACATTTAACTATGCAAGAATTACACTTTTATTCTCGAAAATGATGGTGTTAAAATGTTACGGTCTTTCACTTATGGAGTGATTACCATCTAGAGCAGTGGTCGCCAACCGGTGGGCTGAGGACCTCTGGTAGTCCGCGAGAAAATTTTGGTGAGCCACAGAGAAATGTCCCCCCCACCCCAAGCACACACCCCCAAGCAATTAATCCAAGCTGCATGGGAACACAAGGCTGCAGCACCCACATAGCCTGCCCACCGGCTGGCCCCCACCCTTCGGCTGAGCGCAAACCTTACTTTGAGTAGAGCCACATGAGCTGGAACTGGAAGGTAAGACCAATGGCAGGGGATGGAAATCCACCCCGGGGTGGCTTGCTGACGTTGGTGGGAAAGTCGTTCCCATATGCCAGAACTGCAGTAGTCATAGGACTGGCCCTTTGGTCATCCCAGAGCAGCTCCTCCAGTCCATGGCAGGCCGGTGCACCCAGGTAGAGGAGCAGCTGCTCTGGGATGACCAAAGGGCCAGTCCTGTGACTCCTGCAGCTCTGGAATATGGGACCGACTTTCCCACCAACGTCAGCAAGCCACCCCGGGGTGGATTTCCATCCCCTGCCATTGGTTTTACCTTCCAGTTCCAGCTCGATTAGTACTCTCAGCTTTACTAACTGGCTGCCTGGATTATACCTGGGAGAAATAAAGTAAGTTTTGTGAGATAAGACATTTCCACCTTTAGTTTACATTTTTTGTTATCGGCAGACTTAGCTTCTGGCAGTCAAATCATAGTTTATTTATTTATTTATCTGGTCTAGTGTATGACATCCACAGGGGTCATGCAATCACTAATAATCACTGGGGTATGAAGTGCAGACTATCTCCGTGATGAGATACCCCAAGCAATGTCCTGTTTTAACAGAGCAGCTAAAGGTGACCGAATTGGATACTGCAACCCTCATGGTTAAAAACTACAAAGGCAGCAAATCATAGCTGATACTGATGCTGTGTATTGCAATAAAAAAAAAAAACCCTCCTACTCAATATTTATTTATGCAATAAAATTTAAAATTATCAGATGGAGCTCACCTATGTGCAGTCTCTTATGTCATCATCTCACTGTAAGTCCCCTCTGTACCTTTATGTATGGGGTCCCCAACCTCCGGGCCACAGCCCATTTGGAACCAAGCCAGGCAAGCGACGTGCAGCTTCACATGCACGAGTGGCAGGAGCTCGTGGCCAAAGCTCAGTTTGGGTGAGTGCAGTGGTGGGATTCAATTTTGTTTACTACCAGTTCTGTGGGAGTGGCTTGGAGGGCATGGCGTGGCTTGGTGGGCGTGGCAGGGGAAGGATACTGTAAAATCTGCATTCTCTCCCCACCCTACTAACCTGCTTTCCAGCTCCGTTCTCCTGTGCAGGGCAACCAAAGAAGACCCAGCCAATCAGCTGGGACTCAGGAGGTGGAGAATACATGGGGGCGGGGCCAGTCAGAGGCGGTATTTGCTGGTTCTCCGAACTACTCAAAATTTCCACTACCGGATCTCCAGAACTGGTCAGAACCTGCTGAAGACCATCTCTGGGTGAATGGCAAATGGAGGCATGCATGCCCACTGCATGCACAAATGGAGCTGCTGTGCGCTCAGAACCACACCTGCCCCCCCCCGGTCACTGCCACTGTGGAAGGCTGGAAAGGTTGGGGATCACTGCTCTACAGTACCAACCACTTTCATTATTCCTCTACTGGACTCTTGCAAACAGCACAACACCGTTGTTGTCCACCTGGCTACTACCAGGAGGCCTCCATCGGATTCAGCAGACCTGAATCTATTGTGGCCATTCAGAGATTCTCCCTGCCACCCACATTATCAACCACTGATCTTTCCACCTCTTCCATTTTTTATTCTAACTACAGGCGGTCCTTGACTTGAAACCACAATAGAGCCCCAAATTCCCATTGTTAAGTGAGAGATTTGTTAAGTACTTTTTGCCCCATTTTATGACTTGTCTTGCCATAGTTGTTAAGTGAACTACTGCAGTTGGTAGATTAGCAACCTGGTTGCTAAGCGAATCATGGTTCCCCATTGACTTTGCTGGTCAGAAGTTGCGAAAGGGAAGCACGGGACCTGGGACACAGCAAAGATCACCAACCTCTGAACCAGCTGCCAAGCATCTGAATTTTCATCACAAGAACATGGGGACGCTGCAAAGGTCATAACTATGAAAAGCAGTCATAAGTCACATTTTAGTGCAGTTGTAACTTTGAACGGTCACTAAATGAACTGTTGTAAGTCAAGGACTACCTATACCTCCCACTGACCTCCATATGTAAGGAAATGGTTAGTTTCTGGACAGGCAGCAAAATGCAAGTTGGCCTTCCAATTACTACTTTCTTTTATATAAGCTTCCAACTCCCTTTGGTCAGTATGAAGTGACAAAAACAACTGAAGGTGAACGTCAAAGGAAAAGAACCCAAGTATGAAATTTGCTTGGCACAACCACCCATTTTCCTTGAGTCATCTCTGTATTAAAAAAAAGTCCTAAAACATGCCACATTCCCCATTATATTTTGGAAGAGGACACACATTAGTATCCCACCTTAATCTGAGGTCCTTCTCCTGCAACTTTTTAGGAAAGTTTTATGGCTTCTGGGTTCATGAGAAGCGGCACAACCCCTTCTCAGGGACAGGAGATTTAAAGAAGACTCCTCACCCAGTGACAGAGGTTAAGGGGATTGGCATGTGCCAAAGCTTACGCTCCCAAACGAAGGGCTGCAGGAATCACTTCCTGGACCTGCAGCTTTCACTCTGTCTTCCTTGTTACTGCTGCCTGCTTGCTTATTGGCTCTTTGTTGGCCAATGAATTAAGAGCAGAGACTGAAAAGAGGTGACTCATTGAAGGAGAAGAAGAAAGACTGACACAGAGAAAGTCATCCAAGGTCAACACCATGCCGATTTGTGACAGGACACATTTCTCAACATCCCAACTACAAGATCCCTCACTGATGGTCCTGTAGCTTGACCATGTGATGCTAGGAATGGAGAAAGCACATTTGGGAGACTCCAACAAGCAAACCAAGCCAGGTGTCACAACAGGGGAAGACACAAGCAAGATAAATCTCCTGTCTGACCTGCAGGAGTCCAATGCATTCTATAAAATGGGGTGGCAAGATCTTCCAAAATGGGAATTCTATGCAGGCTAGGAATTCTAGAAGTTGAAGACCTCTTCCCAATCACATCAAGTTGGAAAAGGCTCTTTGCTGCATCAGCTTTGTGCTAGATGGATTGGCCCGACGGTAGCTCATTGCCAGTCAACTTAAAAGCCAAGATGAGCAAGGGCAAAAAGAAATATTACATTTCAGTAAGTTAGAAGCCATTGAAAAAGCATCTTGGCAAGTGTAAGATGGAAAATAGCAAGCAAGGCACTTAGGTAGCTGCTTCAATCTCTCCAAAAAGAGAGAACTGCAGCATTGAAAAAGGAAACAAAAGACATGTGTATGTATATATATATATATATATATATATGCCAATATATACGTGCCCATGCAAATTTAGAAATAATTGCTATGCGATAAACAAAAATACATCATAATATAATGTAATGTAATTGGTTACAGAGCATAGACAGTAACCAATAAGTCAGATATCTGCACAGTCTACCCTAGTAACAGCGGATGGGTACACTCAAAGCTCCTGGCTCTTTCTTCTGACATCTGTTATTAAACTGGATTTGAACTGAATAGTCCACCCAACATTTTCAAACCAAGAACTCAGCTTTGTATAGCAAGTTTCATGCCATGCACTACCCAGCAGGAGGTCACATTTGCCACTGGGAAAGAACAGAGCCATCTGCCCACTCTGTTGTTTAACTTCTCCTGACTTTGAAGAGGGAGCTGAGTTTTAGATCTAGGAACGTGCAATTAATATTTTAGCTTCTCTAAAACAAAACAAGCAAAACACAATGTAGGGAGAGTGAATTACTAAATAGAGGCTTATTAAAGGCTCAGTAAGTGCAATAGGCCTATTCTTTCCTCCCTTCTTCCTTCCTCCCTCCCTCCCTTCTTCCTTCCTTTCCTTTCCTTTCTTTTTCATTCAATAACCCCGCTAAATATATCACTATTATGCATGCTCATGTTATACAGTAAGAGTGGAGAAATAGACATTATGACTTGTAATTACTGACTCAATTTTGGAATGATTTATTCTTAGGACAGTTCCTTAAATATACCTGATTTCTAGATGGAAAAGCCTTGCCATCCATTATCCTGGGACAGAACTGCCAGCGAACTTGAGAAGATGGTGGGAAAACACCATCAGGGCTCCCTTTTTTGCTGAGTACAGCGGAACTAGTCTGGCAGTGGTGACCATCAGCCAGCAACAACTTGAGGTAGCTGAGATGCAGCTTTATAATCCAGTAGCATAGCATAGCACCACGACATAGACAGGTTTACAACATAGACAGGTTTACAACATAGACAGGTTTACACCAGGGATGATGATGTGACTGAGGGTAGCTGAATTTCGCTTGGCTGGTGCTCCTAAAAGGCCAGCGAGGGTGTCATCAACAAGCCCTGTCCAAATTGTGGTTCCTGATTTTAGTCCTGGGCCAGCTTCTTTGAACTATTACTTCCTGATATAGTTCACATCATCATTATGCTATTTAAGGAAAGATGACACCAAAAACTTGTTTTCTTTTACAAGAAGTAGCAACAATCAGTGCTGATCTTCCCAAAAGCAATGAAGAAGAAGCAAAACACCTACAAATCGTGATCTCGTCCTTTTCTGTTTTTGCTTTTGCAGCATCCATCTGCAGAGACGCATGGTTCAGCTTCTCCAGCAGTCACTCCAGCAGACATCCCTTCTGTCTCCCCACCAACCAAATAGCACCTTGCAGGTACATCCACCTGCTCCTGCAGATCATATTATATACCTGACTCTCTTTCTCAGAGCTTCCCACACAGGTCCTCACATAACACGCGCACGCGCACGCTTCACAAACAAGCATCCCAGCCTTTTCCCAGTCCTAAAATCGGTTGGTTTCCCACTCGTGTCTAATGCTAGAAATGCTAGAATCACAAGCTAGAAATCACAAGCCTCTAATGATGTTACCTCCATAAACCCACCTCAATAACCAAGCATCCTCCACACAGGGCACCCCTACACCTGCTCAGTGCAGCCCCCTGAATAAAAACCTGGCTGCTCCGATATCGCAGGCCTCATCGCAGAGCCCCCCCCCCCACCTCTTTGTTTCTCTGCAAATAACCCTGGTCACAACTCTCCTTCCCTTTCGGTCCAGCCATTCAACGTACGGAGACATTTCCCACCTGTGCAAATACACGTCTGGTATCCCACAGTCCAGCTGTCACTCGAACAAAAGAGGAGCTCTCTCTTCCCTGAGCCATGGAATGCAGCCTTAATCTATAGGCAAAGAGGCAGTCCCCTATAGATCCCTTCATCCAAACAGACCAACCTTCTTTCCATACACAAAGATGGTGCTGTCCTCATTCCAGCATCTCCCCCGTTGCCTAAACATGCACGCACCTGTCAGGAACTCTCAGCATCTCATCCTTCCTTTTTTCAGAGGCACAACATTACCCCACCCTCATGAGAAGCTGCTGGGCCTTTGGAAGGCTCATAATGTGGGGAGTTGAAAAGGTATGATCTGCTGGGCCTTTCACAGCAGACAATGGGAGAAAGCACCTTTAAAGCCCCTTGCCCAGGAGACACCTCTGGTCTCCTAGCCCACCCAGCCTCCACAAATACGCACCTGAGCGTGCTGGCAACACTCCGCTCACCTCAGCATCCCATCTGGAAGGCCCAAGTGATGGAGGGAAGGAAGGAAAACCAATCTGGCTAGAGGAACAGGCCAGCAGCTGTCTATGCGGGAGGAACACCGTGCGCTGTTCCTAGTTACTGGACTGCCTCTCCTCTTTGCAGAGAGCTTGAACGAGCCGTGGGCTCAGCCTCCCTCATCAATATGCATTAACTCTCAGACACGGATGGATAGCAACGACCCGCTCTGAGCTGGATGCCAGGCCCCTCCAAGAACAGGGGCAGCCTAATGAGAGTCCAGAGATGTGGAGACAAGAGAGGAAATCAGGGAGGTTAGGCAGCCAGTTTGAGGAAGGTAGAAATCTTCATCATCCGTTATTCAAAGCCTGCAAAACCAAGTGGCAAGCACAGCTCCAGCCCAGCCTCTTCAGAAAAGAGCTGCATCATTTGGGAGGCTCACCCCTCCCACAGATGGAGTCACACTGATAGAGAGGAATATTTGAAGCAGGGCTAGAGCTAAAGGATCTGTATCTGCTATCTGATGAGGCTTTTACAGAGGTAGAGGAATGAGCTATTACAGAGAGGAAAAGATGTCCCACAGCTGTGGGGGGTTTTTTTTTCTGCAAAAGGCAAATAAATAAGAAAATTGTGTGATTCTAGGTATCTTCTTCCCAAGGCAAAAACGGCTGAAGTCAAGAGAGGGGTTTAGAATATCAAACTTGAACTCGTGATGGCTGATTACTCTGATCTTCACAAGCATTGCTGCCTTTGAACAAAATTGGGTATTCTAAAAAGATGTTTCCAAATTCATATTTGGGGATGTCACAAACTAGTACAGCTTCCCTTCCAACCCTGCCCAGGGTTGTTGTAATGTTTCACTGGTTTGCATGATGTTTTCCAGAGGCCCAAGATAACAAAAAAAAAATCAAATCAATCAAATAAGATGCAGCTGTAGGTTATGGTCTCAAAATAACACCTCAACTCAACCCCTCTGCTTGCTTCTCCTACAACACCCTTTGTGTTATGTCACCACTTGTTTTCTGCTAAATCAAGCTTGTCCAAGGAACCCAACATTTCTTCCTCTTCATTTATGATGTGTTTAGCAGGCTCAAACAGGGATTAAGAGGGCTAGCACTTGAAAGAGAGGTTTTTGTGGTTTACCAGTTGGAAAACAAGCATACTGGTAGCATTTTTGTAATGTTATTCAGGTCCCACAGTCAACAACCTAAAAGTATTGGGTGAGTATTCCAGTCTCAATATCCTTTGAAGACCTCATGGAGACTTCAAAGGACTTACCTTGAAATTCAAGCCAAAGCAGAAATGCAGAGTTTATGAACCAAATACAGAACTGCTGTATAAGTCTGCCTAAATATCTTTCAATCCCTCTTCCATGGGTTTCCATCATCCAAGAAAAAACACACGGACCACTTTTTCTGTAGTGTACTTGTTTGCATACTCGTAATACTACATTACTATTGGACAGATACCATCGCTGGCAATTGGTAGATGTCAACAGTTCCGATTGGCCGCCTAAGCGGTGGGAAGTTTAAATAAATGCCATTGGTTGCGAGCTGCGAGCAGCCGCTATAAAAAGGGCTGCCGGGGCTCGACTTTAGTTGAAGTTACTGACAGTTAATAAAGAGCTGAATTCAACTCCAGTCTCGAGTCTGCTTTTGTTCTGGCGATAGAACACTGGCGACGAGGATGGGATTGAAGGAACAAAGACCGTAAGCACGTGGCAACGACAGCCGAAAAATCAACAAGATGGCCAGCAGCAACTCGCCACCCAGCCGAAGAAGACTGGGAATCATATATTGACAGGTTCCTGATGTTCTTAGAAAGCAACGAACTACAAGGAATCACTGACCAGAGGAAGAGAGCTGAATTCCTGACGCACTGCGGCCCGACCATTTTTAAAATGGCGAAGGCATTAGCGAGACCAAATGATGTCAAACAGATAGCACAGCCAGACCTGTACCGAATGCTGAGAAACCACTACGCGCCCGTTGTGTCCAACCTCATTCAAAGACACAAATTTTACAAACGGGATCAACAAGAAGGCGAAAGTATTGGAGACTTCGTAGCAGCATTAAGGGACATTGGAGGGGCATGCGAGTTCCTCAACATGGATGAAGCCATGAGGGATCGCATAGTCCTCGGGTTGAGAGACACTACCCTGCAGAGCAAACTGCTAAATTGACCCAACATTACTGCAAATGAAGCCATCGCTGAAGCAACCGCAGCTGAGGCAGCCAAAAAATCTGCAGCAAAAATGAAGCAAATGAATATGGCCAACAGCCCGAGCCAGAGCAGAGAAAAGAAAGCAAAAGGTACCCAGAAACATACTACCGCAACCACCCACCATGAAGACATCGAGTCATCAACCGACTCTGAGGAAGAAGATGAAGAGGTAAACAGACTCCAATCAGAGCGAAACCAGCGAGAAAGAAGAGGGAGAAAACCTGATTTCCAGTGTGCCAGATGCGGAGGAAATCACCCGTGTTCTGAGTGTCGTATTTTGGATGCCATCTTCAGACACTGCGAAAAACGGGGGCACATTGCAAGGGTCTTCTGAAACAAAAAGAGCTATAGTCCAAAAAGACGAGGCAGTAACCCACCCAGAACTAAGGAGAAGCCAACTGGAAGCCATTGGAGCAGGAAAATAGAAGTCAATGACTCAATGAGAAGGAAGAAACACATCAGACAATCATTATTGGAACTGCCAGAGCAACTAATACAAAGAAAGTTCGAATAAACGTCCAGATAGAAGGAGAGCCATGCAAAATGGAAGTAGACTCCAGCTCATATCTGTCAATGGTATCATGGAACACGATAAAAAACTTGATACCAAACATACGACGAAAAGAACTTGAAGAGCAAAGCCTGACGATAAAAGACTACCAAGGAAACAAGATACCAGTAGTGGGATTGGGACATTTCAAGGTATCATTTAAGAAACACACTGAAATTCTTCCATTGACCATCGTTGACCGAGACTGCCCCAGCCTGCTTGGTTTAGAATGGTTCGAGCCTCTAGGAATTGAAGTGACAGGAATCAACAGCGTCACCATGACAGACTAGGAAAAAGACCTGATGGAGGAGTTCCATGATGTATTCGACGGGACTTTAGGCAAGTACCATGGGACCCCTATCTCATTTAGCCTAAACCCAAACATACCCCCCATCAGGCTAAAAGCCAGACGCGTTCCCTTTGCGTTAAAGCCAAAAATTGATGAGCAGTTGAACAAACTCATCGCACAAGGGGTCTAGAGCCAATAGACCATGCAAGATGGGAAACCCCGATTGTGACCCCCGTGAAACCAGATGGGTCTGTGCGCATCTGTGGTGACTATAAGGCCACCCTGAACCACGCATTGCAGCAGAGCGCATACCCCGTTCCAGTATTCCAGCACCTGTTGCACTCGTTGGGGGGAGGAAATCTTTTTGCAAAGCTCGATCTCACGCAGGCGTATCAACAGTTACCAGTTGATTCCGAGACGGCAGAGGCACAAACTATCGTAACACATAGAGGAGCCTTTAAATGCAACAGATTACAATTTGGTGTCAGCGTGGCCCCCGGTGTTTTCCAAAGCCTGATGGAACGCCTCCTCCAAGGACTAAAAGGGGTGGTTCCCTATTTCAATGAAGTACTAATATCAGCCAGGAATAAAAAACAACTAAAAGACCGGCTAAGGGCAGTCTTGCAAAAGTTTAGAGAAGCAGGACTCAAGGTCAAAAAAGACAAATGCCAACTTGCCACAAATCAGGTTGAGTTCTTAGGATACCTTATTGATGAAGCAGGAATCCACCCCACCCCCCAAAAAATATGAGCAATAAAAGAAGCACCCAGACCCAAAAACAAAACGGATTTGCAGGCATTCTTGGGACTCATTAATTTTTATCATGTCTTTCTGCCGTAGAAAGCAACAATAGCAGAACCACTGCATAGACTACTTGATAAAAAAGCCATCTGGAAATGAGGCCGACAAGAAGAAGCTGCATTCCAAAGAATTAAGGACTTAATTACATCCAAATCTGTATTGATCCAATACAGTGACACGCTAGCACTAACTGTCACCTGCAACGCTTCACCATTCGGCGCAGGCACAATACTTAGCCACACACTACCGGATGGCAGAGAGGCACCGATTGCCTTTTATTTCAAGACGTTGTCCAAGGCTGAAAGAAACTACAGCCAACTGGATAGAGAAGCCTTGGCCGCCATCTCGGGGGTAAAACGTTTTCACGAATATCTTTATGGTAGGACATTTTCTTTAATTACCGACCACAAACCACTGCTAGGAATCCTGACCGGCAACAGGGCCACCCCCAACATCCTGTCTCCAAGGATGACAAAATGGTCGGAATTTCTTGCAGCCTACAATTACAAGCTCGTCTATTGACCAGGAAAAGCCATACCCCACGCAGACGCATTGAGCCGCTCACCACTACCAGACTACGATGATGACCCAGCTCCCACCACAAACACTCTGCAAATTGAAATGTTATCGAACTTGCCCATCACTGCATCGGACATTGCAAGGGATGCAAAAGATGCACTGATGGCCCGAATCCTAAACTGGGTGGGGAGGGGCTGCCCAGAAAACAGGAAAAACGAGACTTTTAAACCATTCAAAAACCGGCAAACCGAGTTGTCAATTGAGAAAGGCTGCATATTGTGGGGGGATAGGGTTCCATGCAAGTTCCATGGAAATTGCAAGAAGACGTGCTGAACATGTTACATGAAGGACACCCGGGCATGGTAAAAATGAAGTCCCTGGCCAGAAGCTACGTCTGGTGGCCAGGAATAGAAAAAGACATTGAAACCTGGGTCAAAACATGTAACAAATGCCAGTCATCCAGACCTATCCCCCCCTTTAGCACCGGTCCTTGACTGGGAGACACCCAGAGGCCCCTGGTCAAGGATCCACATAGACTTCGCCGGACCCACAAAGGGATATACATATCTAATCATCGTTGATGCCTACTTGAACTGGTTAGAAGTCAGCATCATGAGTTCAACAACGACTGAAGCCGTCACTAAACAACTAAAGAAACTCTTCGCCACTCATGGTCTACCAGATGTAGTAGTATCGGACAATGGCCCACAGTTCACAGCTTTGGCTTTTGAACAATTCCTCACAGAACAAGGCTTATGATATGCTCTGACAGCGCCAGCTCATCCAGCGGTGAACAGAAGGGCGGAACGCATGGTTCGGTACACGAAAGAAGCATTAGAAAAACTTGAGGGAGGCGACATGCAAGACAAAATCACCATGCTCACCATTCAACAAATAGCACCGTGCACATCAACAAACAAGAGTCCAGCTGAACTTTTAATGGGCAGAAAATTGTGCTCATATTTAGACAGACTACACCCCACCTACAACCCCAAAAAGCCACCGGACTCCTCCAGTAAGTACTGCACATTTATACCAGGCGACCTGGTATATGCAAAAAATCCTACCGGAGAACCGTTGTGGCTACCAGCCAAAATAACACAAATTACAGGCCCCCGATCGTACCGACTAGAGACAACTGATGGCAGATCGTGGAAAAGACACATTGATCAATTACACTCTCGATACATCGAACGCAACACCAACACACCCCAGAACATAGAAAAGACACATCCACAAGAACCGATAGACAATAATAATAAAACCGGGGGGGGGGGGGGAAACCTTTAAATAATAAAGGAAAGGAGAACCCTCCATTAACAAACCACCAACCAGAAATTGAAAACCCAAAAAGAAATAAAAACTACTTACCATTGGACGAATTCGAAAAAAGAGAGCTGAAGGAGAACCAAGAAAAAAGCAGCCGAGCCGACTCTACCTGCCCGAACACATCGGATAGGAGCAACAGCGCCCATCCAACCAACCCAATAAGGCATGACGGGAGCGGCATGGCTGAATCATCCTTCCAGGAGGTTCCAGAGAGAAGAACGGGAAAGACAGCGAGCCGAGCCTGTCCTAACCGACCGAGGTCAACGCAGAGACTGAACTGCGCAGGTCAACTAGGACCCACAAAAGCCCCACCTACTTATGCAACTACGTCATGTAACGTTGGACCAAACCAAGAGGGGAGGGGTGTAGTGTACTTGTTTGCATACTCATAATACTGCATTCCTATTGGACAGATACCATCGCTGGTGATTGGTAGATGTCAACAGTTCCGATTGGCTGCCTAAGCTTAAATAAATGCCATTGGTTGCGAGCCGCGAGCAGCCACTATAAAAAGGGCTGCCACAGCTTGACTTTAGTTGAAGTTACTGACAGTTAATAAAGAGCTGAATTCAACTCCGGTCTCGAGTCTGCTTTTGTTCTGGTGATAGAACATTTTCCACGTGGCATCCCATTTGTGAAATCTTCTCCTGTGGATCTCCTGTCTAATTCTATTACTTTTTCCCATTGTGCAACTTCATTTTTTTTGGAGTAGACATCTTATTGGATTTGATGGTACTTTGGGCTCAACGTGCTTGGTTGAAAGACTATAAAGATAAATAAATGGCAGCAGAGATAGACCATAAACACCTGCAATTGATAACTACAGTGAAATATGAATTTTAAAAACAGTACTCATTCCAGAGAACTATTCAGGGTGGAGAACAAAAGCAATATAAAATAGTTAATTGGAAGCCTGAACATCCCACAATTGCAAAGTTCTGTCGTGAGTTAAGTTTGGGTTTCTTCTATCAGGCATAACCCTGGGCTGAGAATTACTGTAAACACAAAAGGGAATGAAGAACAAGACGACAGCAGGAACAAACAGAAATCTGAAGGGAAAGTGACAATAGGAGGCCCAGCCTATTTGCACAAACATCTACTGCGCCCTTGAAATTATAGCTGCTTCTGTGTCTTTGAACTTTATTTTCCAATACCTTCAAGTCCATCCCTTCAGCACTGTGGCTGAAACAGGCATGTATGTGCAGGTAATCCTCAACTTACAACCATTCGTTTAGTGACTGAAGATACAATGGCACTGAAAACTTACAACTTGGCCTCACGGTTAGGATCTCAGGGAATCCAAATCGGAGCGCTTGGTAACCAGCATGCCTTTATGAGGGTCGCAGGATCATGAGGTCATGTGATCACCATTTGCCACCTTGTTCAACCGCTGACAAGCAAAGTCAGTGGGGTAAGCCGGATTTGCTTAATGACCGCATGACTCATTTAACAAGTGCAGTGATTTCCTTAACTGGCAAACAAACTGGAAAATTGGGCATGATTTACTTAACAACCATCTTGCTTAACAACAGAAACTCTGATCCCAATTGCTGTAAGTTGAGGATTACCTTTATACTGCACATACTATATACCAGGAGTCTCCAACCCTGCCAACTTTAAGACTTGTGGGCTTCAACTCCCAGAATTCCTCAGCCAGCGAAGCAAAGCTGGTTGAGGAATTCTGGGAGTTGAAGTCCACAAGTCTTCAAGTTGCTAAGGTTGGAGACCTCTGCTATATACAGCTTGGGGGAAAAATTATCAGCGACAGGACTCCAATGTTCTTTGAAAAAATGGATTAAAATCCATCAGGAACCACGATGAGCTGATCTGATAATTTAGCGCATTTCATCTTGCTTGACAGGTACAACAGCCCATCTGACAAGTGTTATTTCAAGGACATGTTGTTGTCACCACATATTAATCCCTCTTTCATCCTGGCTGTCAGGAATGGATGACCAAACTGGATTTGGTTTATTATGATGTGGTGATCTGAAGCTTTGGAGGTATGCCTCAGTCATCATGGGCGGTTGGTTGTCCTGTGAACACAACTATCAGCCTTAAAAATAAAATAGAATGCTTCCATTGATTGCCTCAAGGCTAAGTAAGGGCCCTGGAAATGCTAAATCGTTTACTTGAAGGTAAACCAGAATGGCAGGCACCGTATTGTGGGTTCCATCACAATCTCGCCCATACTATACACAGATGGGTTTTATTGTATTTCTCCCAAGTAATTACAGGTAGCCCTCAATTTAATGATAATTGAGCTCAAACTTTATGTTAAATGAGAAATTAAGTGGGTTTTGCCCTATTTTACAACCTTTCTCTCCACATTTAGTAAGTTAATCACTGCAGCTGTTAAATTAATAACATTGTTGTTAAGTGAATCTGGTTTCCCCATTGACTTTGCTTTTCAGGTCACAAAAGGGGATCACATGCCTCTGAGTCATAAATGTGAGTCAGCTGTCAAGCATCTGAATGAAAATCACATGAGCATGGGGATGCTGCAATGGTCATAAGTCACTTTTTTCAGTGCTGTTGTAACTCCAGTCACTAAATGAACTGCTGTTAAGTCACCTGTATTCATAAGTATAATTGATCAAAAACATGCACTCTTGAATTCAATGGGGCTCCACTGGGAATAGCATCTCAAGCTAACATTTTACTTATAGGATCCCTATTCTTTAAGCAAAGCACCGGATAACAATTCAGTCGTATTCTCTAGTACTTGCACTCTGATTTGCCTACTGTCTCATGCACCTACCTTTATGTTAAAAACAAATTAGAATCATCAAATCCTAGTCACCTTGTGTTAAAATAAAATGATGAGAGGGGGCAGGGAGAGAGAAAGGATAGACAGACAGACATAGCTGGAAGGGATCTTGAAGGTCTTCGAGCCCAACACCCTACCCAAAACAGGAGTCCTTATATTATCCCAGACAAATGAACATCCCATCTTTTCTTTAAAACCTCCAGCAATGGAGATGCCAGAACTCCAGGTGTGAAGCTGTTCTAGGGATCAATTCTTCTGTCAGGAAATTTCTCCTTAGTTTCAAGTAGGATCTCTCTTTAATGAGGTTCTACCGGTTGCTTCTTGTCCTACCCTCTGATGCTTGCAGAGTAAGTCAACCCCCTCATCTCTGTGACAGTCCTTCAAATACCAGAAGACAGTCCTGTCACCCCTAATCCTTCTCTTTGTTAAACTAGACATACCCAGTTTCTTTCATGCAGTTTAGTCTCCAGGACCTCTTATCATAGTTGTTGCTCTTCTCCGCACTCTTTCCAGAGTCTTAGCATCTTTTTTGTAGTCTGGAGATACTTCAAGTCAAAAGTATTAATTTTTGCAGCTAATTTGAGATTAACAGAATGGACACGCAACCTGGGATTGAAGACAATAAGTTTAATGGGGGCGGGGGGGGGGGAAACACCATCCATAAGGCTTGAATTTTACATCACGGTTGGTACACTGAACAAGACATCCATGTGAATTCTGCATAGCTGAAATGAGTCTCCTAGAACTAGAGAAATGACTATTTAAAGGCTTATTGTGCGGTAACTTTTGTCACTTTACGAGACACATTTGAAAACTTCACATGCAGTAAATCTATCCTTTCTGGCCGATTATCAAACCCAGAGGCCACCCTAAAACCAGGAGAAGTAGAAGAATGGGAATGAAATAACCTTGGTTTTATCACACAGCCGGAGGCTAAAAAAAACTTTATTTGCCTCATTGATGTAAAGTGCTAGATAATCATTCATAAAAGTAAAACAGCTACGGTGTCACGGCTGGCGGTCTCTTTATTGTTTTCCACAGCTTTCAATGTGGGTGTCTCAATTTCAGTACAACTTAGTAATATGCATTTGTTTATCTTGTTTCAAGCAAAACGCAGGCCCTGTGGATTGATAAAGTGTCAGGAATAAGCCATCTGGAAATAAATGTCTCCCCCAACTGATAGAAGGACTCCGTTCTTATACGTCGAGGTAAAAACGTAACTGAAGCGGGGAGGAACCTAAGCCTGGAGATACTACAACTCATTTTTTTTTAAAAAATGACATGAGCTCAGATTTCACAATCCGTAACACATTAATATTTCTTAGCTGGAACATTGGAAGAACATGGCGGAGTGGAGGAGAGTGTAATGCTTTTTCGTATATCAGATTTACACTCTCCCCGCTACAAATTAGTTTTAATGCTACTGACTGGGAAAATCAGATCCTGGCTAGATTGCTTCACTCTTGAATGAAGCTGGCTGCTTTTTCTCCCAGGCTCCACCCTGAGAGCTCTCATTGTACCTTGTGGCAGCTGCTCTGCCCTACAACCAGAGTCCTGTATCTCTACTTTAGTAGCATTTCAAGAGCATCAGCCCTCCTCTGAGCCTCCCTACAGGCTGTAAAGCAACCACCTTTGCTGTTTAATCCCATACAAGGATCCTCACGCCGTTCTGGATCCAGATCAACTGTCTTGTGCTTTCTCAGTCGCCAGGTCATCAATGCTAGCGAAATCCAACTCCTTACTGTCAACGGTACCAGAGCTTAAGTTGGGACCAAGAACATCCAAGCTGAAAGGAGGAGCCTGAAAACTATCATCCCCTCCTGCTGCAGCGCTTCCGTTCATGAATGTCTCCATGTGTCTTAGCAGCTGCTTTGGGTTTTTTTTGGCAAAGGCTTCCAATTCTATACAGAGCAGAAAGAAAAAGAAAAACCAGGAAAATTATATCCAAAATTATATCTTGCTTTGAAAAATCTCAACATCCAGCATAGAATGAGCATAGGTGGTCCTCGACTTATGACCACAACTGAGCCCAAAATTTCCATTCCAATTGTTAAGAGAGTTGCACCCCATTTTGCAACCTTTTTGCCAGCTATTAAGCAAATCACTGCAGTTGTTAAGTGAACCATGCAGTTGTTAAGCAAATCCGGCTTCCCCCAGTGACTTTGCTTGTCAGAAACCAGCTGAGAAGGTTACAAATAGTGATCATGTAATTCCAGGATGTTGCAATGGCCATAAGTATGAAAACTAGTCATAAGTCACTTTTTCAGTGCTGTTGTAACTTTGGTCACTAAGTGGATGGTTGTTAAATCAAGAAATATGTGCACAGCTTCTAGTTTATAAGAAAAGCTACTGCTATATAGCTCTTTCCAATTTAGCATCCTTCTGATATACGAGATTGTAATCCAATTAATCCTAGCCACAAGCCCAAGCGTCATGAATTTCTGAGATTATAGTCCAAGGATGGAATTGCGGGCTAAATTCTATAAAGAATAGAATAGAAAATAGAATAGAAAATAGAATATGGAAAAGAGAAGAGAAGAGAAGAGAAGAGAAGAGAAGAGAAGAGAAGAGAA